ATCAAGTTAAAATATCATGCCTATCTCACAGCTACTCATTTGATGGACTGAATATGAATAGCAGACTTAAACTACAACCCAGAGTTCAAGGCACTGGGAGATAATGTGCCAGGTGTCACAGACATTTGGTGAGTAGAAGACAAAATGATTAATTATACATATTAGATTTTAGACTTGTTGAAAAAGATAAAAAGTAAACTGTTTATTCTATATTTTCTTTGGGTAGATCCTGCGTTGCATTCAAGATTCAAAAAGTGATCTTCACTTAAAAAGGTTGACGACCTTTGGTCTAGGAGTTAATACTGTTGAGAAAGATAGCAAATATTGCTTTGTTTATTTTCTGACTTGAACTTTACACAGCAGCTTTAAGACCGTTTGGTCCAACCAGTCCATGCCAAATATAATCGCAAGCGAAACTAGTCCCAACTGCCTGCTCCTAGCTCATATCCCTTCAAATGTTTCCTATTCATGTATCTATCCCATTCTACATGTGAACCACCCTCTGTGTAAAAAGATTGCCTCTCATGTCTTTTTTAAATTTCTGTCCTCTCACCTTAAAAATGTGCCTCTTAATCTTGAAATCCCCTATCCTATGGAAAAGACAACTACAACTAACTATATCTATACCCCTCATTATTTTATAAACGTCTATCAGGTCACCTCTCAACCTCCTATGCTCCAGTGAAAAAAGGTCCCAGCCTATCCAGCCTTTCCTTATAACTGAAACCTTCCATACCTGGCAACATCCTGGTAACTCTCTTCTGAATCCTCTCCAGCTTGATAATACTCTTCCTATAACTGGGCAACCAGAACTGGACACACAAGTCCAGAAAAGGCCTCACTAATGCCCTGTATAACCGCAACATGACTTCTCAACTCCTACACTCAAAGGGCTGAGCAATGAAGGCAAGCGTGCCATATGCCTTTTTAACCACCCCTTCTATGTGTGATGCAAACGTTAAAGAATTATGTACCTGCACCTCCTAGGTCCCTCTGTTCAACAACAGTACCCGAGACCCTACCATTAATTGTTTCAGCCCTACCCTTGTTTGTTGTACCAAAATGCAATACCTTGCATTTATCCACATTGAACTCCATCGGCCATTTTTCAGCCCATTGAACCATTTGATTAAGATCCCTTTGTAATCTTAGAAAACCTTTTTCGCTGTCTGTGTCACCAATTTTGGAGTCATCTGCAAATGCAGGGAATTGAAATTATAAACATGTAAGCAGTATTTTCTACAAGTTACCTTCTAACAAATCATTTGCTGAGTTAATTTTCTATCCAATAGCTTCTTCATGCCACTTCATGGATTTAAGAAATCTGCTATCTTTCCAATGTTCAATAGTTCATTTGCGTTTCTATTAGCTATTTCTTATGGTCTTAAAAATCAAATGTGATCAAGTGAAACAAGGAAAAAACCCCTCTATTGAATATTAGATTCACCACATAATGGAATAAAAGAGGATTTTCCATTCAGAAAGCTCCTGATCAGCTGAATAATCCAGGAGATATGTTGAGAATTTAAATGTATAATGGTTCTTCAGAATGGTACAAATTGGAGATTAAATCGTAAAGCTAATTAAGGGGAGAGATCGGAGCATCAAAGTATTTTTTGCAGAGGCCTGGGGCAAATAGAGTCTTAAGATCATAAGAAGAACAGGAGTAAGCTAGCTCAGCCTCCTCCACCATTCAATATTGTAGCTTTAATGTTGCTTTCCTGCCTGTTACCCATAACACTTTACTTTCTTTTAGATTAAAAATCTGTCTGACATTTCATTATATCCAATGCTACAGTCTCCATTGCTGCCTCTGTGGAAGAGTATTCCACAGGTTAATGATGTCCCTAAGAAGAAAAAAACTCCCTCCTCAATTCCATCTTAAATAGGAAACCCTTTATTTTTGAACTGCCCTCTATAAACTATTTTCCAGTATGACCCCACTTTAACATTTGAAAATTAAGACTCAAGATGCCAACAGAAACAAAACTAATTAATTAGCACAACAACATTCAGTATATAATTAAGCATAGAATCCTGACAGTATAGAATGAGATCACTTGGCCCATTGAGTCCATATCAACCCTCCAAAGAGCATCCCACCCAAAACCACGCCTCCCACGCTATCCACATAACCCTGCATTCACCATGGCTAATCCACCTAGCCTACACATCCCTGGGCTGTGGGAGGAAACTAGAGGACACAGCAGAAACCTATACAGGCACGGGACACAGGGAGAATGTGCAAATCCCACACAGACAGTCACTCAAGGCTGGAATTGAACCTGGGTTCTTGGCACCGAGAGGCAACAGTGCTAATCACTGAGCCACCATGTTGCCTATTAAACCTTGCCTATTGTCAATCACTTAATAAATCATATAGATCCGAAAAATGTGTTTCTGAAGTACTATGCCAAAAAAACTATTTCAGGCACTCACCTGTCCATAGTTTCATCTAAAACATTCAAGCAGCAGGTAATATTACATTCGGATTTGCATCCAGCATTACTAATCTATAGTAAAATCACAGTAAGGTTTTCTAAAGGCCATCTTGACATCAATAATTTTAATGATAAATTATTTTGAACTAGTCTTCGATTGAGGATTTTAATTGACAAAGTAATATTCATAATTTCAGAGATGGCAGTTTCCACTGCACACAGTGCATCTTGAAACTGAAATTAATTCTCAAAATAAGCAACCCCCCGAATGTTGAACTGCATTCCTTCTAACCCAGGATGGCTCTATGGAGTGTTTTTAAACAGGCATAGGACTTGGCACACACAAATCAGTTTCAAAGTTGTCCCCACTTCTGAATGAGATGACTCAGTGAAACCTCTCTCAACCATGCACTGTAATCAGCTTCTCCCCCTCCTCAAACAGATCAGTTGGCTGGTGGTGGTCAGTGGGGAGTTACAATAGGTCTGAAAGCCTGAACCAGTAGGCTATTCGTAAGCAATTTTGAGCAGACAAAAGAAAACTTGAAGGTGGAGGAGAGTAGGGCAAGTTTGCAACCTTCATCATTATTCCTGAGACCCATATTGTGTGATCCACGTTTTGGGGACTGCTGTTTTACATGATGTAAACTGTTTAAAAACTTACTGTACAATAGATCATAGAATCATGGAGTCATGATCCAATTTATGATAAGCTATTTGAATTCCAAAGCACTAAACCACGAGTGGCAAAAATGTGATTGACGGTTCTTAGCCAAATAGAGGCTCATATGACGTGTATAATTTCCTTCTTAGTTTGTATCTATATAGCACTAAACTGTGTTGTTTTTCTCCCCAACAGAATGCAACTTGCAGCTGATAATAACAAACTTGCATTAACAACTGACTAGATAGAACAGTGCATTGAATGGATATTTCTTTTAATGCTGGTGTCATTTTCGTGATTAAAATGCTAAAATGAATACCTCAGTTTGACAGAAGCCCATTTCATTATGGATTATTCCTTCAATTCCTTGCTGGCTGTGCATTCAACTTAGCCGTTGCTACCTGACCATGACATGCATTACATTCCATTGATCCATCATTCCCATCGCCTTGGCTAACTAATAGAAGACAGAGTTTAGGATAAGGGGGGCATTTTTTTTTAGGATGGCAACCTGCAATTAGTGGAATACCACAGAGCCACAATTATTTACAATATATATTAACCAATTAGATAAGGCAAGTACATGCACTATAGCCAAATAGGTGTGAAGGTAAGTGGTGAGGATTACACAAACAGTCTGCAGAGGGATAAAAGACAGGTTTAGCGAGTGGGCAGAAACTTGGCAGATGGAAAATAATGTGGGAAAATGTGAGGTGATGCACTTTGGCAGGAAGTAAATAAGATGAATTTAAATGGAGAATGACTGCATAAAGCCACAGATCAAGAGGATTTGGAATCATAAGAAACTATCATCCAAATTCAGCAGGTAATAAAGAAGACCAAGGCAATGTTGGCATTTATTTCAAAGGGAACAGAGTATCAAAGAGGTTTCTTTCTAAAACTACACAAGGCACAAGTCAGACCACAACTGGAACAATGAACAGTGTTTGGCCCCTTATGTAAGGAAAGATCACTGGTATTGGAGACAGTGCTGAGATGGTTCACTTGACGGATACCGGGTATGGAGGGAATATTTTATGAGAAGATGTTGTGTAGGTTGGGCCTGCACTCATTGAAATTCAGAAGAATGAGAAGCGACCTTATTGAACGTACACGATTCTTAGGAGACTTGACAGTGTAATTGCAAAGAGGTTGTTTTTCCTTGTGGGAGTGTCTAGGAACAGAGGGCATTTCTCAGACTAAGGGGTTGCATAAGGGGTCAACAGTATACAAAGTGTACTTAGCTGAATCATGACGAATGGAAGAATACTTACAGATGCATCACCTCACTGAGTAAGACGTACTAGTACTGCACATAGTCTGCAAAGAGCAGGTGACATCTCATTCACAAACACAAATAAGGAAGAATGTCATTAGAGGTGAGGTGGATCCAATAATAAGATACTGCCTTTGGACAAAGACATGATAAGACTGTATGGTGGACTCTGTTCTGGTGCATAATCCTGACAATAGTTTTGTAGGTGTTGACCGTTTGTGTAGAATATCAGAAATTCTAAGAAGCTGATCCCAAGTAATACTGCATCAGTAAAATGCACCACAGATATTACTGGAAAGGATACCTCTAACTCTACTTCTAATATTTTCAAGGATATTGTTGTTGCTATAGGCTAGATAATTTAAGGTCAAAACTTTCTAGCATTCAAGATCATACACTGGCACAATTTAACTTGTGGGAACTCAGACTTTCAGTCCAGTTGTTCACCATTTTTTTTGCTTGCGTCTTTTATTATGTATTAACATTGCAAATGATTAATTGTGTCTTTTCAAAGTTCAAATTACAAATCTAAAATTTTAAAACTGAATAGTACAATAATTTAACATTAGCTTTTATGAGCACAAATTCACTTATTTTCAAATTAAAAGGAAATAAGCCAATGCAAAGAATAAACAAATTTCACATTTTATTAGAATATTACTCAAATCACAGTACAAATCACCCTTTCATAAGTTTAACATACAGTTAAGAAATGTGCAGAAAAATATTTAATTCAGTACTGCTGAGGTTTTGACAGTAGATCAGCTTAACATTGTTTTCTTGCACTACTGCCAAACAGGAACTTTACTCCATATATTACTTATGCTCTCCATGTGGAATATACAAAGGATTCATATATACTACAGCAAAATGCTAAGCACAAATTGCATGGGGTGACATTACTGAAGTTTCCTTTCTAATCCATTATTGTAACAGAAAATACTGCTTAAATGGAGTTCACTGTACAGAGCAATATGAAATGCATGCAGAGCAGAGGTTCCAGTTTTCAATACTTGGCTGTCACAAGCCCTTCTTTTTCCAGAAGTAGATCTGCATACCTTTGCTGGAGTTCCTTCTCTCTCTCCTGCTGCCGTGCAACATCTTCCCTCAAAGACTAAGTTTTGGAGTTAGGAAAGGAAATGACAAAAAAAATGTTAAATGATGCTTTATGACAGACGATAATGGAGATTTACTCTTTAATGGTTCTTTTATGGATGCATCCTTCTGATACTCAGAAAATGTTTTGGAATAACCTTCACTGTGACTTTTTAAATCACATGGTTAAAGATTGCATTCTTTAAATGTGCTACAGAACTTTACACAATATTTAGCAGTTACAGAGTCTATTATTCATGTTGCTTATGAAAAACGATTGACTAACACGACTTGACACAAAAAAAAACCACAAGTAATTGAGTTTTAAAATGAACGCCAGTCCTGCAATTAATAACTTGTCATTAGTACCAAGGAAATTTAATTCAGAATGAACACACCAATTGAGCTTTTCATATGACCACTGAGGACAGTAGCCTGTCCAAGGCCATAATTATTTGAATGAGAAAGCATTCCACCTAATATTGCTAAAGCTATCCACTTAGTACTTTATTCCATGTAAAATCAAATGCAGATCAGAACCAAAACCTTTATCTTCTGCTGTACACAAGGGTCTTCCTTGCCATTGCCAGCCATGTTATCTTTCCACAGACAACTTCAGCTGATTAGAAGTTAGGACTGAATACTTCAGAGCGAAAATAGAGGAACCACAAACTAATTTCTTTTTAACTGATGCATGTACTTTATCAATGGAAATGGTTTTCTTTTGAAAAAAGAGATAGGCATTTAAGTTTTTGTTGATTTTTCTCGGTTGCCTTCTTTTAGGACAGAAAAATGCTACATATTATCTTTTGCTCTCAAGACCAGGTTTCAAAACTATTTTCAATTTACTACATGACATGAAAATCATTTTAAGAATTCATTTTAAAAGAATACATTGTGGCAAACAAAAAAGTCAATCTACTGCTTCTACAAAACTCAGATAATCAAAGATCATCAGAATTACCTCTTGTCGCCTTGGAATAGCTATATCTTCATGCTTCTTTAATTCTTCAAAGGTACATAATTCCAGGTGTGCTTGCTCAATCTGATCCCAGAGATCACTCAACTGTTTCATAAGACCTGTAGCACGTGACTGATATCCTCCAAGTAGTATCTTCAGTTTTTTCTCCATTTTTGCTGCCTGTTTTGCTTCTGTAGTCATGTGATTTCTATTGGTCTATATAAAAAAAAGGTGTTATGACTGAAAAAGTAATCCAGCATTTTCCAGGACCAAATAAAAACTAATTATCAGCTAGAACTGCTACATTACCCTTAAGGGTGTGTACAATTTAGTACTAATTTTATTTCAGAGTTTTTGGCCAAAAGATTTTTAATAATAACTCAAGATCAGTTTAATAGAATGTATTTAAAGCTAGACATGTTGTCCTTTTTCTTTCCAGATATTAAATAAGTTGTAGTACAAAAGGATTACGAAGGTGAAGGAGATTGAGGCGCTCACAACATATATACCATTCATGCTGCTCAAGAACAAGGGCAGCCAAATGACAAACTTATTCTGACTAATTTAAAATAAACTGTAGTTGCCAATTTAAAAGAGGATATTATTAAGCTCATGAGGTCAAACTATGAATTGTGGCAAATATTTTGAGGGAATTTTCTTAAAAACTGGTACATGGCTGCAACTTCACAATTCTAAAACTGCCTTCTAGCAGACCAACCCCCTCTAATGAACTTATATAACACATTCACTGTTAGAGGCACAATTATCTACTGCCTATTGTACTGGACAAGCAACACTAAAGTTATGAGTTTTAAGTTCACAATGCAATGTTTTCAAATTAGCTTCAAAACATTTGCAGAATTTATAACTATCACTAGAAAATGACCACAGATGCAGAAACCCATGTCTTTCACTTAAGGAATTTGCCATGTTTAATCGCCTTGATTTTGTGTCAACTGATGTAGTAGAATGCATGAGATATATGGGGAATGTCTTCAAAAAAAACACCAAATTGTTCAAATTGCTCCTGCTTTATGAACATTCTTTGAATCATACAATAGAAAACTATGCAATACCAACACTGATTTAGTGAGCACAATAGACTACAATTGGAGACAGAAGTAGAAGAAACCATCTAGCATATAATATCTCCTGATCATATAGGCCATACTAGAAGATTGAGGCTTAAACTAAAACTAATTTTCTTACCGCTATATCTCAGATTGATCCATTCACCATTTCAACAGTTTTCTAATTTTTTTTAAGTTAATTGTGAAAGAGAGTATGATGTAGATAGTAAAGCTATCTCAAAATTATTAATTCTTTTGAGTTTCAGACTTCATTCCAGCCCACTTCATTGGCTACAATCTTAGTTACTGTTTAGATTCAAAATGGCAGTTAGATTTCGTCTTTCACAGTTGTGAAATTCACAATAATGTAGCTTGGGAGACTGGAATAAGGAGGCAGAAAAAATATACTTGCATTAAGTTATTATAAAGATGAGATGTAAGTAATAATAACTGGAAATATGCTCATTTTAGTCATTATCCTTCACTAACATGGTTATTTCAAACCATCACTCACAAAAGGATTAAGTAGGACTATACATCTTCAAGTTGGAGTGTACTATCATATGCTTACTTAGATATGGTCCACAGCTGTTTTTAATAGCAATAGAAGCATGGTAAATTCTCTGAATGGAACTGCTACTGCCTGATTCTCAGAAGTACCCGTGTGAATGATTTCCAACCTACTTACCACATTTCTCTGCCAAGATATTTTAAACAAATCCACCCTTTGTGAATAACTTGCTTGACTAACTGAAATTTATCCACAGGGGTATAAATAAAACATGCTACCATTGCAATCCTATTGTGCTTATTTTTTCAGCCAAAAATTGAGTTTAAAGAAGAAACATTGCTGAAAAAAATGCTTACTCTATTCTTGCCACACATTTTTGTTGTAGAACTGATAATTGTACATTAGGATTATACTAAAATAACAGAAGGCTAGGCAATTAAGACGGTAGATTATAAAATATAACATTTTTGCTGATAAATACAAGGCAAAATGTTTTGTTGCACATTAAAACAATCATGTTGTATCTTGGTGTGCATGTCCAGTTTAGTCATGCGTTTTAAAGTGTAGACCTTTGTAGGTTCCACATGACAATATTAAAAGTTAGAACACGGAATAATATTTAACCGCTGAAGCCAAAAGAACTAATGTAAATTAAACACCTAACAGTAGGCTGATAGAAGACATTTATCATTTAAATTTCCTTTCAGCTTCATACATTTTAACAAGCCCTCATAATCAAGCAGCAAGTATTCACTATGGAAATTGTGCAATCTTCATCTGCAGGTAGATCATTACTTGCGATTATCATATTTATTCTGCATTGAGAGAAAGTTCTAGTTTAAAAATATAGCTTCCGCTGAAGTGGATCAATGCTGCACTCTTCTGGATAAATAAGTGTAATTTTTTGTAAATGTCTAACTTTACTTCACATTCCCAACCATGTGCATTTTATTAAAAAGCATGCAAGATACTGTTTGAATTTCATTTTCTGCTGTCAATGCAAATTCTTGGAGTCAGTCTCCTCATTTGCTCAGTTAAGGTGACCACCTGCCACTTGGTATGCAGAGGAAACATATTTTGATAATGCACAGCATTGTTTGTACCTCTCTGCGAGAGGTTTGTACCAAGGCCACCTCAGTGGAGTTTGGCAGCGCAGTTGCTCTGGATTGTCCTGAACCTGTCAGCAAGGACAGCCCTCACTATTGTAATTAAAAGTTTGCCACTCAAGGTTTGTCACAAGGAACTTGTTAGCGAATTCTAGTGTTTCTGATTTGTTGATTCAAAGGATTTCCGCTGGATGATCTCGCTCAGAGAAGGTTGCTCCACATGAAGCATCGAGAAGATGAAAGGCAGGCAGTGGTAGACTGAACAGGTCATCATGGCATGTTAAGTGAGGAAGTGAGATGTAGCACAGATGTAGCTAATGGGGTTTCATCAATTGGCAGATATGTGGGGAGTAATATTTGCAAGGACAGCATAACAGTGGTGGTGTGCTGAATGGAGGGTTCCAGTTATGATACACATGTTGCATTCAATGGAGTGTCAAAAAGAGGAGATGTTTTTTTCAGATAGATACACAGTACTCTGTTGCAGAGTGTGATTGGGCAATGATTGGCTTTAAAAGGCTTCAATGTCAGATGCCATACATAGCAGTATCCTGTAACGTTGCAATATCTCCATTAAGGTCCTCCTCAAGTAGCACAAGATGTCATGGGCAAAGATGAAGCTGCAGGATGTTGTTGTTGGCAGGTTGTGTTGGTGGGTGTATATTTATATCTAACAACCAATACTGGGGAAAGCACTTGGCCTTGTGGTAGTCTGTTGGTAAATCTTCCCCATGCACTTCTCCCTTGCCCAGATGGATTCTAAATCTTTTGTTGCTAATGATTATGTGAACAACTGTCTTGACCCAGACTGGAAGCAGTTATGATAATTTTAGAAACAGGCCTATAGGCAGCTGTTGACATACATTAAATTTTAATTTTTTAAATTATTTCATGAATGTGGATGTCACTGGCAAGGCCAGTATTTTGTGCCCAATCCTAACTGTCTTTGAACCAAGTGTCTTGTTAGTCCTTTCAGAGGATAACTGAGAGCCCACCATATTGCTGTAGTTTTAGAGTTGGGCCTCTGATTCACTGGCAGCCTCAGGCAGGGCTTGTCCTTGGGATGAGCCTCCTGATAGATGAAAAGTTCAATGGATAGCACCTAAGTACTTAATTGGTACTTGACTGAGTGAGCTTTTTAGCTGGGACAGACAAGGATTTAATCACTCCTGAAATCTCCCTCTCTCTAACTGTCTCTCACCTTTGATTGTCTGCATTGCCCTTAAAAGACTTTACATGTAATTTAGTCATTCGAAACACACAGGTGATTTACTGGAGGTGGTTAATAGATGAAAAGAATATCATGGGTGATTTGGGAGAAAACAGTTCAGTAAAAACAATTACGGATTTAAAAAAATTAAAAAGAACACACTTGAAGTTGCTTGCCTCAATACTTAATACACAGCACTAAATGGAGGCCAATGTTACTAATCTTGCAAAACTCAGCATTTCAAGTTAACGCCTTTACACTATCAATGAAAAGGTTATTTGAACACTATTTGATCAAAAATTATGCAACATTAACACTACAAAGATCTACATTAGATTTTCATTTACAAACATAATATTATTAGTACTTTGTAATTAAAGTGATTGTGAGGTTACCAACACTCACCATTTGTCGAGAGCAAATTGGACAGCAGCGACCTGATAGAAGTTTATAAAATAATGAGGGGTATAGATAGTTGATGGTAATTGTCTCTTCCCTAGGATGAGGGATTTCAAGACTAAGGGGTACATTTTTAAGGTGAAAGGAGATTTAAAAAAGACATGATGCTCAAATTTTGTTTTACAGAGGGTGGTTCGTGTGTGGAATGAACTTGCTGAGGAAATGGTGGATGTGGGTACAATTACAACATTTAAAATATATTTGGATAAGTACACGAATAGGAAAGGTTTGGAGGGATAAGGGCCAGGAACAGGCAGATGGGACTAAACTAGAGATTTCTTTCTTTTGAGGGGCGGCACAGTGGCAGTGGTTAGCCCTGCTGCCTCACAGCACCAGGGAACTGGGTTCGATTCTACTCTCGGGCGACTGTCTGTGTGGAGTTAGCACACTCTCCCCGTGTTTGCATGGGCTTCCTCTGGGTGCTCCAGTTACCTCCCACAGTCCAAAGATGTGCAGGATAGGTGGATTGGCCATGCTAAATTGCCTGTAGTGTTCAGGGATGTGTAGATTAGGTGGGTTATAGGGGGATGGGTCTGGGTGGGATGCTCCATGGGTCAGTGTGGATTTGTTGGGCCGAAGGGCCTGTTTCCACACTGTAGAGATTCTATGTTCGGCACTTACTGGTTGGACCAAAGGGTCTGTTTACGTGCTGTATGACACACTTGCTTCCAAACACTTCTGCTGGCACTGAACATATACTGTCATAAGTATGAAGTCTCAGTCTTCAGATTATCAATGTTGCTGGTGAGTTTAAAAAAAAAGCGTAACTTAATTTCTAAAACCTTTGGTTTCAATTCTTATCTCTCTTTTTTATCCCATCCCACAATGATAGCATAAGAGCCACAGTGCTGTTGGGGGTGGGTGCTGGGATTTCCAGGATTTTAACCCAGTAACGCTAAAGGAACTGTAGTGTTCCTATCCGAAAAACTATTGTGGTGCAGTGGTAGCATCCCTACCTCTGAGCTAGGAGACCCAGGTTCAAGACTCATCTGCTCCACAAGTGTGTAATAACATGTCTGGATAGGTTGATTTAAATAACTTTCCATGTATCCACTGTCCCTGTCCTTCTCACTAGTAGTAGTCGTGGAATTAGACCATATTGTCTAAGGTGCTTTGGTTAATTTCTACCGTGCATCTTGTAGATGGTACACACTACTACTACTACTACTACTACTAAGTGTTGGTGGCAGAGAGAGTGAGAGTGAATGTTTATAGATGTGGTTTCGAAGAGGCTGCTTTTATCTTGGATGATATGAGGCTTTTTGAAAGTTGTTGGACTGCACTCATCCAAGCAAGTAGGGAGAATTTGATCATACTCCTGACTTGTGCTTTGTAGATAAGCAGGAGTGAGTTACTAACTGCAGGATTCCTAGCCTCTGAACTGTTCTAGTAGCCACAGCGTTTATACAGCTAGTCCAGTTCACTTTCTGGTCAATGGTTCTCTAATCTGACTGATCAAGGAGACACAGTTGCTTGCCCTATTCACATGTCCCAGCCCCCTATGGGGTATACTGTGTTGAAACACTTTTGTAATCACAACAAGTCATAGTTTAAAATCCCATAGAAATCCCACATACAGTGTTAGATGCCACTGGTTTACCCTGATTGCAAAATCTACTTTAGCTAATATATTTAGCTAATATTCATCCTTCAGAACTAAAGAGATCTTCTGACAGTTGAAAATAATGGCAACAATTCCATTCTCGCAACCAGTGGGTCATCTCACTGTACAGAATTCATATGGATATAACAGACAAAAGATCTCTAAAATTGCTGACCACATACATTTTGTCAACAGCTAATGTTGCAAATAGAATTACTTTTGTGACCATCTCCCGCTGATGGGTACATGTGTAATTACATTATGCAACATTAAAATTACATGGCTGTTCCAATTTCAAAGAGCCAGAGTCAGAGTAACACAGCATGGAAACAGGCCCTTCAGCCCAAACTGATCCATGCTGACCATGGTACCTACTCAGCTAGTTCCAACTGCCCACATTTGGTCCATATCCCTCTAAACCCTTCCCATCCATGTATCTACCCAAATGTTTTTTATATGTAAGAATAAAATGCTTCTTTTGGATTAAGAACAAATGGAAGTTGAAGAAACAAAAAACAAACATCTTTTATATTTTCTAACCAAGATTCACACTAACTTAGGGTCCAATTTAAACATAACATTTCCCATTCATCTATGATATTCAATAGTCTAGTCAAGAATAAAAAAAGGTCATTATGGAGTGTAAGACTATAACGTGAAACGATACTGCAGACTTAGCCCAGTTTCCAGTGGGAAATACCCACAGCACAAACTGCAATTTGGCACTTAGAGGCCATAAGGTGGGATTTGGGTAAATGGAAAATGTCATACTACTATAATGGGACTTCTTTTCTGAGTTGGACTGTGACACTTGGTGGATCTTAACAGGATGCTATGTTCTTTGCATGCCCCGTTCGTAACTAATCTGGGCACTAAATAAAACATTCCAGTCAATTTATTGTTCACACAGACTTATCACTGCAACCACTACTTCCTCATCCCCCTCCCCAATCAAAAACAATAAGAATTCTTCTTAATTAAAAAATAAATTTCATTCATACATATTTCAAATTGGAATGGAGTAATAGTGCTATAATTTGTTGCTAGTAAGTTTAATTGCTGTAGAATTAAACACCTTCCCACTTTGGATTTGATTTAAGTCATTTATTACAACATAAGAGAACCAATGCAGATTGCCTTTTATCTTACTGATCTTAACTTTAAGTACACAATGCTACTTTGAGAATCTCATTCCTAAAAACAGCACTATTTGTTTAAACTTGTTGGCAATCAATTTGCTCGGACCTTTCTTCTAACATTCACATGTCAATAATGAGCCTCTTTTAGCTACTCTGTAATTTGTTTCCCAGTTACTAAACTGGCTGTAAATAATCACAAGTGAGATAACTCAGTTAATTGCCCTCAGTTGGAAAGGTTGAATGGTACTATAATCTTATATTCGCCAAGAAATTGGTTTTATATAGGTTTAACTCATGTCCCTTTTGGCCATGAACAAAACAAAACAAAACCCAGTCTTTTCATCTTTCATGGCAGCTAATAGTTTTCTAGTGTAAACTAACCTCCAGCTTCTTTTCCAGTGACTCTATTCGGTCTTTTTTGCTAGCCAGGTTAGCTCGAGTATACCTGTTTTGTCCAGGTAGATACAACACCTGACTGTAACATTCTTCCCAAACCTGATTATATGCTTCAAGAGGAAGGTCTCCATGTCCCATACCGTGTTTTACAACCTCCATCTCCAATGTCAACAAATCACTGGCCTGAAAAAAAATACGCAGTAGAAATGTTATAAATACTTATAATTATAGGCATTATTGAATGTTGTTATTTTTTCCCCAAATGAAATCTTACCCGCTATTTTAGAAAATTATAACATTGTACTATAAGTTTCACTTCAAATAGCACCAAACCTGAAACACTATATAGAAGGTGCTGCATTTTTTTTCTGGTGCAAATTGCCATTCTATTAAACAAAATAGTAAAAAAGTTATAACAAATGAAAAAATCAGCAATGTAGAAATACATCTGTTGTTGTCTTCATAATTGCTTTCATAGGTTGGCCAGATGAAAGTAGCAAGTGGATTTGAAAAAAAACTTTAATAATTTTGCCACAAAAGCTGACCTATTTTGAGACCATCTGGTTCTGAGTGAATGGGTCCATTGACTCATGACACTCGTCTTGTCAAACTTACACATGTTACTGACATCCTGTGGCACAATTGGGGTATCGTACAACACCATGAAACATTGTGGTGATTTGAAGTTGCGATTTCCTTACCAAGTGCATTTGAAACCAGGGCTACAAGCAATAGAGATAACAAGGTGCAGAGCTGGATGAACGCAGCAGGCCAAGCAGCATCAGAGGAGCAGGAAGGCTGACGTTTCGGGCCTAGATCCTTCTTCAGATTTCCGAAGTCAGATTGGTGAGAAGTGACTACATGTTTTCCCATCATCGATATCATTGGTTTGTGCCTGTCAGTCCATTTTCCGGTGTCAGTGCTGTTTTACACCTCTTGCATGTGATGATGCTGGCAATTTTTGGCCAATCATTCGGCCATATTCTCTGGCTCTGGGTAATATTGAGTATTCACTCTATATATAACTGCTTGACGCTCACGGAATTGTCCTTTCCACCAGTGCCCTCTTTCTCTGCCATCTTTTGTCATTCATCTGCTCTGGAGTCCTCGCCAAGACCCTCCTCCCGAGCTTACGTCAGCCCTCATAAAAACATGCTGCCCCCCTCTGCCCTCATCATCCAGGTCTGCTCTGCTCTCTACCCTTTGCCAGCCACAATCTATTGGGCTCAGTCTCACTCCCAAACCTGGCAAATAAACTGTTCCTTTTTTTTTTGTTTTTTTAAGATCTTCACCAACTTTGATACAGCCAGTGGCCTAGGACATAACTGAGTTTGTCATCATAGACACTACAATTGCATGTGCAGAAAGTGAGCTTTCAGAAGATTCAAGATGACCGAAGATAGCTATTTGGTTACAGCCCAAAATATACTCATAATGCACTGTTCCCCAACTTTCCACTCACAAGTAGAACTTTTACTTTGATCAAAATTCATAAATTTTGTCAGCCACCTGGGAAAATAAAACACAATATACTTATATCTGACTTTATGAAACCTTTGCATTTAAAAAAAGTCATAAAGGAATTTCAAGCATTACAGAAAGGAAACAAAACAGAACATTTTTGAAATTCTAGCTTATTTATTTAATCAAACTATAAGCCCTCAAAGACTTCTAAATATTATTGCTGGCACTTCCTAGACTGGCACATCATGACCAGTTTAAAATAATGCAAAACTCAAGGATCTAATAGACAAGGTTAAAGTGTAGCCATTACTGTCCAAAAGAACACAATTACTTTTCCAGATACAAGCATATTTTAAACTCCCTACATGCTTTGTCTTCATGTCGTTCCAATGTTACCAATAAACTGAATGACAATAACAGATTATTCTGACTGAAACACTATTTAAAGTGCTTCATAAACAATCACATGAATCCAAACTTTTCATGAATTTGCCATTACTTATTGCAATACACATGAACAAAAGATCAAGGGTTTACCTGACTTGGTGTAAGGATATTTCAACTTCAATGACAGAATACATAGAACCATACAGCACAGGAGTTCAATCAACAAATCATAACTGTGACAGCTCTTTGAAAGACGTATCCAATTTGTCTCACCTGATCTACTCTTTCCCATAGCCCTGCATAATTTTACCCTTCATATAGTCATACAATTCCTTTTTAACAATTACTAAAGAATCTGCTTCCAACACATTCTCAGATAGAGTATTCCAAATTACAACATGCTGCATTTCTTTTTGCTCCTTTTGCTGATAAACCTAAATTTGCACTCCCTAGTTGCCAGCTCTCTTGATACTGAAAATGGTTTCACTCAAGTTACTCTACCAAACCTACATCCACGTATTTATTCAACTCTCTTTTGAAATACATTATTGAATTTGTTTTCACCATTCTTCAAAGCAGTATATTCGAAATCCCAAACTCGATAACAGAAACAATTTCACCATCAAAACTGTTCATGCTTTTGAACAACGCTATCAAACCTTCCCCCTTAAAATTCTCTGCTCTGAGGACAGCTACTCTAGACTCTCTTCAGTTTGTCAACACAACTGAAGTTTTTCAATCCTGACTTTGTATTTGTAAATTTCCTCTGACCCCTCTCCCTTTTTTGAGAGTCTGGTGCGCAGAACTGGGCACAATATCCCAGCTGAGGCAGAGCACTGGCATTAGTTATTCTACAAAATTGCAACACCAAAGTTGGTGTATTTTTAAGAAATTATTAATAACTAGTAAGAGTTCATTGTAATTTTTGGTATAGATATGCAAATTATCCAAATACACCTTATAATATCTGGAAACAAACAAGCTGCATTGCTGGGCCAAAATTCTACTGATCTTAGCTACATTCCCATGATCAGAATACACCTGCACCCAATAAGAAGAATAATACATAAATAATTCAGGCAGCTGAATAGAAAACTGAATCTTTTCATCATAGCTTTTCTTTTGTTAGTAGTTTAGCTATTGGCCCTTGCATTTCCAGAACTGTCAATACATGAGTTTAGCCTTGTTTCAAATCTAAAAATTAATCACATTGTTAACTCTAGTACTTTTCAATTATGTAGCCAAGAGCACGACAATTGCAAAAGATGACAAAAATTATTCATCTAATTTAGCAAATGTCAGACCTGAACTTGTATTTGCAAACTTGGAGCCTCTTTTTGAAATCTATGTTTTTAGTTTCATGTTGTTTTATTCATTTTGCACAAAATAAAAATTCAAATTTTTAAAAAAACTTTAAAAATTTTAAAAATGGGGCAGCACAGTGGCTCAGTGGTTAGCACTGCTGTCTCACAGCTCCAGGGACCTGGGTTTGATTCCAGCTTTGGGCGACTGTCTGTGTGGAGTTTGCACATTCTCCCGGTGTCTGCGTGGGTTTCCTCTGGGTGCTCCGGTTTCCTCCCACAGTCCAAAGATGTGCGGGGTAGGTGGATTGGTTATGCTAAATTGCCCATAATTCCCAGGGATGTTTAGATTAGGTGGGTTAGACAAGGGAAATGCAGGTGTTGGGGAAGGGGTCTGGGTGGGATGCTCTTCAGAGGAGTGTTGTGGACTTGTTGGGCCGAATTGGCCTGTTTCCATACTGTAGGGATTCTACGAAAATTCTATAATGATGTATATACAAGTAAATGATGACTAAGGGTGCTTTTTTTAGTTTCAGAACTCCAAATATATTGTCAGATTAGAAAACAAATAGCGGAAACAGAATGCATAAAAGAATTTAAGAAAATATACAATTTGCTCATGAAACTTCAGCAGAGATTCCAGGAATAAAAATCTTTCATTTAGAAGGTTCACATATCATCATGATGTTTGGGATGTATAATATTAATTTTCATTAACTTTTCTTTTTGTAAAATATTTTCAATGTCTCTGGCGATATAATTCAGTACTTCCTCTTGTAATAATCACTTAACCTTGAAAAGCTAATATTTTTACTTTCAGTAATTAAAATAGATTTTAAAAGCTTATTACCACATATTGACAAATGCATTTTCCTTCAGTGTTATATATTTCTGTGCAAATAGGCAATATAAAACTGAAGAAAAATGCATATGCTTCATCATTTTTAGAATTTCACGTACGGTTTACCCAACACTGGATTCTACCATACCCAAATAACTTCTAGAGAGAATGTTCTACATAATTACTTCCTAATTCTCAATGGTGGTCAAGAAATAGTCAAGATTATTCATTCGTTCCACAGCTCTTCTGTTCAACTCTAAACTACTGCACTCCACTAATACCCCCAAAGTCTTCTCTATAACAGCACAGGAAACTGTAGAGTTCACAATCAGTTAATTCCTATTTCCTCCAAATTCAATCCAATCAGTTGCTCATCAAATTCCTTTCCAAAGGAGTTTACTGACTGACCCTTAGATGTCTTTTCGAACAGGTCTGCTAGACAGTATAAAAGATCTCCTGAAATGTCAAGTACTGTCTGAGCAGTATTAATATTTTATGTGTTTCCACTTTTGTAGCACAGTAAGGAATGGTTTGCATACATCTCTATCACCCAGCAGTTTTAAGTCCTGGATCTCACACTTAATAATTTTTCTCCCCCAAATGAACAAAACACATTTCTTTCAGAATAAAGCATAGCATATCCTAGAATTATTTTCCTTCATCAAGGCTTATGTAAGGATGAGGCGTGAAGGCTCAGTTAGGGCGCTTGAGAGTTACAAGTTAGCCAGGAAGGACCTAAAGAGAGACCTAAGAAGAGCCAGGAGGGGACATGAGAAGTCTTTAGCAGGTAGGATCAAGGAAAACCCTAAAGCTTTCTATAGATATGTCAGGAATAAAAGAATGACTAGAATAAGATTAGGGCCAGTTAAGGACAGTAGTGGGAAGTTGTGCGTGGAGCCTGAAGAGATAGGAGAGGCGCTAAATGAATATTTTTCGTCAGTATTCACACAGGAAAAAGACAATGTTGTCGAGGAGAATACTGAGATACAGACTATTAGACTAGACGGGATTGAGGTTCATAAGGAGAAGGTATTAGCAATTCTGGAAAGTGTGAAAATAGATAAGTCCCCTGGGGCTGGATGGGATTTATCCTAGGATTCTCTGGGAAGTTAGGGAGGAGATTGCAGAACCTTTGGCTTTGATCTTTATGTCGTCATTGTCTACAGAAGACTGGAGGATAGCAAACGTTGTCCCCTTGCTCAAGTAGGGGAGTAGAGACAACCCTGGTAATTATAGACCAGTGAGCCTTACTTCGGTTGTGGGTAAAGTGTTGGAAAGGATTACAAGAGATAGGATTTATAATCATCTAGAAAGGAATAATTTGATTAGGGATAGTCAACACGGTTTTGTGAAGGGTAGGTCGTGCCTCACAAACCTTATTCAGTTCTTTGAGAAGGTGACCAAACAGGTGGATGAGGGTAAAGCGGTTGATGTGGTGTATATGGATTTCAGTAAAGCGTCTGATAAGGGTCCCCACGGTAGGCTATTGCAGAAAATACGGAGGCGTGGGATTGAGGGTGATTTAGCGGTCTGGATCAGAAATTGGCTAACTGTAAGAAGACAGAGGGTGGTGGTTGATGGGAAATGTTCATCCTGGAGTTCAGTTACTAGTGGTGTACCGCAAGGATCTGTTTTGGGACCACTGCTGTTTGTCATTTTCATAAATGACCTGTATGAGGGCATAGAAGGATGGGTTAGTAAATTTGCGGATGACACCAAAGTCGGTGGAGTTGTGGATAGTGCGGAAGCATGTTGCAGGTTACAGAGGGACATAGATAAGCTGCAGAGCTGGGCTGAGAGGTGGCAAATGGAGTTTAATGCGGAAAAGTGTGAGGTGATTCACTTTGGAAGGAGTAACAGGAATACAGAGTACTGGGCTAATGGTAAGATTCTTGGTAGTGTGGATGAGCAGAGAGATCTTGGTGTCCATGCGCATAGATCCCTGAAAGTTGCCACCCAGGTCGATAGGGTTGTTAAGAAGGCGTACGGTGTGTTAGGTTTTATTGGTAGAGGGATTGAGTTTCGGAGCCATGAGGTCATGTTGCAGCTGTACAAAACTCTGCTGCGGCCGCACTTGGAGTATTGCGTACAGTTCTGGTCGCCGCATTATAGGAAGGATGTGGAAGCATTGGAAAGGGTGCAGAGGAGATTTACCAGGATGTTGCCTGGTATGGAGGGAAGGTCGTATGAGGAAAGGCTGAGGGACTTGAGGCTGTTTTCGTTAGACAGAAGAAGGTTAAGAGGTGACTTAATAGAGACATACAAGATGATCAGAGGATTAGATAGGGTGGACAGTGAGATCGGATGGTGATGGCTAGTAAGATGGGACATAGCTTTAAATTGAGGGGTGATAGATATGGGACAGATGTCAGAGGTTGGTTCTTTACTCAGAGTAGTAAGGACGTGGAATGCCCTGCCTGCAACAGTAGTAGACTCGCCAACTTTAAGGGCATTTAAATGGTCATTGGATAAACATTTGGATGATAATGGAATAGTGTAGGTTAGATGGGCTTCAGATTGGTTTCACAGGTTGGCGCAACATCGAGGGCCGAAGGGCCTGTACTGCGCTATAATGTTCGATGTTCTATGTTCAACATAAAAATTTTTTTGCCTCCTACCTCTTCAGAGTTTACAAATTAGAATTATTTGAATGTCCCATCATCCAAGGTGAATAAAGGGTTACATACTCAATTTAAAACATTACAACCATTAACAAACCTTTTTCATGTCTTCTTTGCTGATTTTTTCATATATGTTGTGTTCCAGGAAAGCAATATGCTCAGCATTGCTAGAGCTTGATCCTGCTCCTTTTCCTCTTTTTCCAAATTGGTCTACATATGGATGATGAAGTGTATCATAGTGTAACATAATGATCATTTCTTTCTTCACCATCTCTTCAGCTTTCTGCATCTCAGTCAGAGGTGGTTCAACATTCAGAGGCCTTAAAATGGTTTCATTTACCTAAAAATCAAAAATTCAGCTTGTACACAACAATTTCATTTTTAAAGAACATTTCAATAGCTCATATGTATGATATCTAATTTCAAAAATTATGAACAAGTTATTTATATATCTTTCCTGTTATTGTCTCATTTTCATTGTGCAATTCTTCCATTGATAGGATAGCCTTTACTTCCACATTCTGTAGGATATAATTTACTGGCTTTCAATTTCATGCTATTTTTTGCTTGTATTTATAAAATTGCAAGTTTTGTACTTACCTCTGTAGGCCTTGGAAGATTTCGCTGTACTGATTGGTGCCTCTTTTTTAACTCCCTCTCTCGTTCAGCATCTTTCATTGCCTGAAAAGGAAAAGATGAAAACTTTGAAATTTACAAACAAAGACTAGGCTTTAAAGTAAAAATGCACACACTATACACATTGGACTACTTCACTGAGCTATCAGGTCATTACTTAAAGAATGGATCAGTTTCTGGAATTCAAATATTGGCCATATGATCTAATGAAAACATTACAATTAAAATGGAATTTAGTAAATTCATGTACAATGCAGTGTGTGTTCACAAAAAAGTATTTTCACAAATCAACTTTGGTAGAGTTCTTGAGGAGGCTTACTTGTCTACGGGATTCTACATCAGCGGCATCTTCTATGAAGTTATCTTCTGCCTCTGGTTCCTCAAGCTCTCGCTCTGCATTCTCTGGGAGCACGATTTCAAAATCATTCTTTGGAGTTGGAAGGTTCAGCAGTCCCATTCGCAGTTGCTCTCGATGCTCTCTTTCCTACAAATAAAATCAATCATAAGTTTTGGGAAAGAGTAGCAAAGCCCAGAGTTACATCACAGGGGAAGGCGATGGCCGAGTGATATTATCATTAGACTATCAATCCAGAGACTCAGGTAATGTTCTGGGGACCCAAGCTTGAATTCTGCCGTGCCAGACAGTGGAATCTGAATTCAATAAATATTTGAAATTAAAAGTCTAATGATGACTATGAATCCATTGTCGACTGTTGGGAAAAACCCATCTGGGTCACTAATGTCCTTTAGGGAAGTAAATCTGCCATCCTTACCTGGTTTGGCCTACACTCCAAGCCCATAGCAATGTGGCTGACTCTCAACTGCCCTCTAGGCAATTAGGGATAGGCAATACCCTGATCCCACGAATGAATCTAAAAAAAATAGCTATAGGGTTGATAAAATATTCATGTTGGATTTAATTACAAAGCTTTAAAACCATGAAAGCTTCCAAAAAGGATTACTGACATCCTGGTCTTAAAAGAAATCTGGCTGAGGGGAAAGGATATATCCCACTAAATGATGTCTCCCCAGCTGGCTATGCCCTCCCCTGCTGTCCAGTGGCAGGATGGGTCTGACCACTGTGATACACAGTGCAGGCAAGCAGAGATTACAAATTTTAAGAAATCTGTTAAGATGACCACAGTACATCACATGATTTTGGCAGTATAGAGCATAAGCACTGGATAGTTCTGAAACTGCTACAAATGCCTAATTAAATATTGACAGTCACCCATGAAATTAACACAATTACTTGTTAAGGATGGGTTATCAACAAAACAGGCTAAATACAGCAGTTAACTTGTCTTTCTACTTAATCACAGACAGGGTTAGATGAATGCAAGGGGTCACATTGATTTCTCAATATGTTTGAGACAAGAAGCCATGGAAATACAAAAATCTTGGCTGCTTCAAACACTCAAAGGTTTAAAAAACCATAATACAAGATGCTTATTAGTCTAACACACTACCTTGTTTGAAAATAATATTGGACTTGTTTAAATCAGACAGCACGGTAAGACAGTCATGTTTTTACTTGCTTTTAAAAATAACAGCAGAAGCTATTGAGACAAAGACACCAATTGAATGCCATTGAATCTGCTGCAGCACTCTATGCAGCCAAGGTATTAAATAACTACCTCCTGAAAGTGGGTGAAGGACTCCTCCCAAATTATTTCAACTTCAGGTTCCTCGAAAACTTACCACCCAAGCAATTTAATTACAAGAAGCTTCTCTCACTTACCTCTCTTACTAATTACAAGAATCCTCCTGTTAAAGCACCAACTCATCTAAGAAACTACAGGCCTGTTACAGAGAAAAAACCTGACAATGCAAAATTGTAATTAGATTGTGCTTGCCTCAATTGTACCTAGTTTTTGTGCGAGGGTAGTCAAGTAAGCGAGGCATTGTATTTATTTTAAACGTCTGGGACAAATTCATGATAATAACATAGTAATATCCTTATGTTTAAGCTAACAAACGTTTACAGTAAGGATGATTTAAATTGGGACAAATCACTCTGAGGGTAAGAACATCCAAGCACCCCACGTATTAAAACACTTAAATCATGGACAATAAGAAAACACAAATCGTGTTTATGATACATCAAATCACACCTTAGTCTGACTCTTTCACCTACTTTGAACATTTTACCTTTGTTCCACCTCATTAGCCTTGTTTTTAAAAAGTTTGTCTCTGCAGTACAACCAAGTACAAATAAGACATTTTCTCCCTGATCTGGCTTCAGTGCATTCCTCCATCAGTCTTTGCGCCAAGAAATTTCTCATCCTTGATATTCAACCTATATCTGAGAGCACTGTACTCTATCTCGAGATTGCTGCTCTCCCCTCTTCGATCTTCATTTTCATGTAAACTCCCTAATCCATACTTAAATCCAGCCCCATAAACTTGTCATTTTACACAGCTTTGCTACTCAATGTGTTAAGAACGTTTCTGATCACATACATGAATCATTCTCCATTCCCATTATCTTACCCTTTCCCAATCCTACTTTCTTCTGCATCTCCAAATGCACCAAGAATTGTGTTTGCAACAATTACTTTGGTCCTCCTAATCTGCTCAACTACACCACAACGTATAACCAAGTAAGACTAATACTCTCCCATGCCCTGGTCATTCATCCACAATGGAATTTACCTCCACCCTCAGGTTCATGGGACATAGACCTGAATGCATTTGGCAGCCATTCACTGTTAAAAATGACTCAGCTAAATAAAGCACCACTAGGTCCCGCTCACTGTTCTAGGAATGAAGAGATAACCCTAGTCTCTTTTCTTGACTGCATGCTTTTTTAAAAATCTGTCTATCCTGTTTCCTTGTCAACAAAAAAATGAGGAACTAATGATTTTTTGGACACCAATATTGAGACACTGCAATCAGCAGCCCTGCTGTTACCACCCCTTCCCAGATTTCAACAGGCCAACTGTCTTCTAACGCCATCACTAAGCTGTCCGTCATTAAGATTTTCAATTTTTACTTGTCCTGTTATAAAATTCTGGAATCAAAAGTTGCAAATAAAAATGTTTGCCACTTCTTTAAACTTTTTATAATTCTAGTTACTATCATAGAATAGATGGCATAAGAGGGGTCATAAATATAAGAACATATGAACCAGGAGCAGAAGTAGGTCATCTAGCCCTTCGAGCCCGCTCTGCCATTCAATAAGATCATGGCTGATCTTTTCATGGCCTCAGTTCCACTTACCCACCCTCTCACCATAACCCTTAACTCTTTTACTGTTCAAAAAAAATTATCTACCTTAGCTTTAAAAATATTCAATGAAGAAGCCTCAACTACTTCACTGGGCAGTGAATTCCACAGATTCTTTTGGGTGAAGAAGTTCCTCGTCAATTCAGTCCTAAATCTGCTTCCCCCGCGTCCACCCCCCCCTCCAACTTTGAGGCAATGCCCTCTTGTTCTAGTTTTATCCATCAGTGGAAACACCCTCCCTGCTTCTATCTTATCTATTCCCTTCATAATTTTATATGCTTCTGTAAGATCCCCCTCATTCCTCTAAATCTGAATGAATATAATCCCTGTTTATTCAGTCTCTCCTCATAAACCAACCCGGTCAACTCCGGAATCAACCTAGTAAATCTCCTCTACACTTCCTCCAGTGCCAGTACATTCTTTCTCAAGTAAGGAGACCAAAACTGCACACAGTACTCCAGGTGTGGTCTCACCAGCACCCTATACAGCCGTAATATGACCTTCCTGCTTTTAAACCCAATCCCTCTACAATGAGGGAAAAAATTCCATTTGCCTTCTTAATTACCTGTTGCATCTGCAAACCCGATTCATGCACAAAGACACCCAGGTCCCTCTCCACAGCTGCATGCTGCAATTTTTTTATCATTCAAGTAATAGTCCTTTTTACTGTTATTCTTACCAAAATAGATGATTTCATATTTATCAGCATTGTACTCCTTCTGCCAGACCTTTGCCCACTCACTGAAACTATCTATATCCCTCTGCACTTTCAGAGTCCTCTGCACATTTTGCTGTACCACTCATCCTAGTGTCATCCGCAAACTGTGACACACTATACGTCGTCCCCAAATTCAAATCGTCTACGTAAATTGTAAACAACTGCAGTCCCAACACTGACCCCTGAGACACACCACTAGTCACTGATCACCAACCAGAAAAGCACTCATTTATCCCCAGTCTTTGCTTCCTGTTAATTAACAAATCCTCTATCCATGCTAATGCATTGCCCATTATGCCATGCACCTTTATCTTATGCAGCAGCCTTTTGTGTGGCACCTTGCCAAATGCCTTTTGGAAATCTAGATACACCAGATCTACTGGGTCCCTGTTGTCCACCGCGCTTGTAATGTCTTCATAGAATTCCAGTAAATTAGTTGAACATGACCTGCCTTTCAAGAACCATGCTGTATCTGCCCAATGGGACAATTTCTATCTAGATGTCTTGTTATTTCTTCCTTGATGATTGATTCAAGCATTTTCTCCACTACAGACATTAAGCTAACCAGCCTATAATTCTCCACCTTTTATCTACCTCTTTTTTTTTTTAATAGTAGCGTCACATTTGCTATTTTCCAATCTGCTGGAACTCCCCCAGAGTCCAGCAAATTTTGGAAATTTACCGTGAGTGCATTTCCTACTTCTCCTGCCAGCTCTTTTAGTACCCTGGGATGCATTCCATCAGGGCCAGGAGACTAGTTTACCTTTAGCTCCATTAACTTGCCCAACACTACCTCTTTGGTGATAATCATTGTTTCTAGGTCCTCACCAACCTTCGTCTTCTCATCATCATTACTGGCATGTTATTTGTGTCCTTCACTGTGAAGACCGACACAAAATACCTGCTCAATGCCTCAGCTATTTCCTTATTTCCCTTCATTAAATCCTCCTTCTCATCCTCTAAAGGACCAATGTTTACCTTAGCCACTCTTTTCCGTTTTTTTTATTTGTAGAAACTTTTGCTGTCTGTCTTTACATTCTGGGCTAGTTTACTCTCAATCTACCTTACTGTTCTTTATAGCTTTTTTGTGCCTTTCTGTTGACCTTTTAAGTTTTCCCAATCTTCTAGTTTCCCACTGGTCTTTGCCACTTTGTATGCCTTATCTTTCAGTTTGATAGCCTCCCTTATTTCCTTAGACAGCCATGGCTGATTACCCCTTTTCCTAGTTGTTCCTTTTCACTGGTATATACTTTTGCTGAGCACTTTGAAAAATTGCTTTGAAAGTCCTCCACTGTTCCACCACAAAGTCTTTTCTTCCAGTCTACTTTAGCCAACTCGTCCTTCATCCTATTGTAGTATTGTATTGTTTAAGCACAGGACCTTGGTATTGGATTTTATCTTCTCACTATCCATTTGTATTATAAATTCAACCATACTGTGATCACTCCTTCCAAGATGATCCCCAACTATGAGATCATCAATTATTCCTGTCTCATTAAACAGGATCAGATCTAGGATAGCTTGCTCCTTTGTTGGTTCCACTACATATCGTTCAAGAAAACTATCGTGAATACATTCAATGAACTCCACCTCAGGGCTGCAGTGACTGACTTGTTTCAACCAATCAACATGTAGATTAAAACCCCAAATGATAATTGCCGTACTATTTTAACACGCACAAGTTATTTCTTTGTTTATTACGCGCCCCAATGCGATGTTATTATTTGGTGGTCTATAGACTATGCCCATCAGTGACTTTTTCTTCTGGAATTTCTAATTTCCACCCAAATGGATTCAACCTTATTCTCCATAGAACCTATCTCATCTCTCATTACCGCACTGATGTCACCCTTAAATATCAGAGCTACACCACCCCCCTTACCTTCCTGTCTGTCCTTCCAAATAGTCCCCTGGATACTTGATTCGCAGACGTGACCATCCGGCAACCATGTCCCCGTAATGGCTACGAAATCATACTCATTTGCGATGATTTATGCCGTTAACTCATCTACCTTGTTTTGAATGCTACAAGCATTCGGATAAAGTGCCTTTATGCCAGTTTTTATACTTTCTTTTTGCATTATAACATCTCCGTTAATAACGCCTCCTGCGTTTTCCTTCCTTTTAACTCCTTTCATAGTCTTCCATTTGGTTAAACCCTCCTGCACACACGCTAACCTGCTGCTTTCTTTTCAATTTACCATTATTCTTCCTGTCATTTTCCCCTTCCCTTCCCCCCAATTCAATTGGTTAAAGTCCTAGTAACTACCTTATCAACCATGATTGAATGGCAGAGCAGACTCAATGGGCTGAATGGCCCAATTTGTGCTCCTACGTCTTATGGTCTTACGTCCTTTTCGCTAGAACAGATCGGTTCAGGTTGAGACCATCCCAACAGTAGATCCCTCTTGTTCCAAAACTGATGCCAATGCCCCATGAAATGGAACCCCTCTTTCCCACACCACTCCTTTAGCCACGTGTTTACTTCCCGAATTTTCTTATCCCTAAGCCAATTTGCACATGGCTCGGGTAGTAATCCGGAGATTACTCTTGAGGACCTGTTTCTTAATTTCGTTCCTAGTACTTGATAATCCCCAAACAGGTCCTCCTTCCTTGTCTTGCCTATGTTGTTTATCCCAACGTGGACCACAATAACTGGATCCTCGCCCTCCCGCTCCAATATCCTTTCAAGCCAGTTGGAGATGTCCCTTACCCTGGAACCAGGTAGGCAACACACCTTGTAGGACTCTCTATCCTCCTAATTATAGAGTCCCCTACAACTCCCACTTGACTTTTTGCTCTCCCCTTTTGAATGGCCTCCTGTACCACGGTGCAGTGGTCAGCTGGCTCATTCTCCTTACAGCCCTTTTCCTCATCCTCACAGGGAGCAAGTACCTTACACCGGTTGGACACGGTCAAGAGATGAGGCTCCTCCGTTCCTAAATTCAGGATCCCCCTACCTGCCTCACTTGCAATCACACCCTGCTGTCCCTAATCACTGACTGAATTCGAACTACTTAATCTACCAGGTGTGACCGCTTCCGGAAACAAAGCATCCAGGCACTTCTCCCCCTCCCAAACGTGCACAGTATTTGAAGTTCAGATTCCAGCTCATCACCTGTGAGCTGAAGTTCCTTGAGCAACCAACACTTGCTGCAGATGTGATCACTTCAGCTCACAATGAGAATTGCCAGTTCCCACATCATACAGCTACAGCACATCACCTGCCCAGCCATGTCTACAAGTTAATTATTTTACTAATTCATGTAAATTTATTAATACTTCTTTGCAGTGTTCTTTATCAAATCTAGTGCAGATTTCCTACCAGCCAATCGGGTCACAGCTTCCCCGTGGCGCCACTCCAGTTTTCTCTCGCAGCTACGACGTGCCTCGAGCTCAGTCAGTTTTATACTCACTCTATACTGCTGTTCTGCCCTCTGAGTGCTCCGTGGAGACTAGGCCACAATTCCTGAAGTCAGTTAGTTTTATATTCACTCGGTGCTGCTGCTCTGCCCTCCAAGTGCTCCCTGCAGACTATCATTTAGCTTAATGATCCATAATACTTTATCTACATTTTGGTCAAATTATATCTGCTAGTAGCAGCAATGAATGATACTGGTTATCATTTAAAGAACATATGCTAAATAACAGAAAGCAAGAGTCGGCTATTTCACTCAGAGGATGTTCTTCCATTCTATCTTATTGCTATCTTCCACTTCTCTCCCCACACTCCCTGACACCTGTAGTATTCTAGAAATCTATTTCTTCCTTAAATATTGTCATGGGCTTGACTTCCACAGCCTTAGATGGTAGAAAGTTCCACAAGTTCACCACCTGAAGACATTTCTCTTCATCACAGTCCTAAAATGGCCTATCCAGTATCCTGAGACTTTTTGTTCTGGAACTCCTAAACCAGTGGAAATATCCTCTTCTCCAATCTATCTGTCCAGCCCCGTCAGAATTTGCTGTATTTCCTCTAATGGCAATTATCTCCTTAGGTAAGATGACCAAAACTTCACCCAATACTTCAGTCTCACTAAGACCTGGTGTTGCCACATTAAGTCATCCTCATGCGATCCTCTTGAAATAAAGGCAATCATACCATTTTTATTTCTAACTACTTGGTGCACCTGGATTTTTTTTTCCAGTCCCTTTGGACATCATTTCCCAATGCATCTCTGCCATTCCCTTTTTCCTATCAAAGTAGATAACTTCATGCTCATCCACATTATATTACAGTTTCCATGTACCTATTCACTCAACCAGTTTTTCTAAATCTCTATGAAGTCTCTTTACATCCTTTACAGATGGGTATTTGGTCTCAAATTAAAACAAATTCAATCTACAAACCCTACACAAATAAATGCAAACTGAAGGGGAAATAATCACATAATAAGAAGTGTAAAGTAAGTACTTAAAATCAGATTTGTAAGCATACATTTAATGTTGTGTATATTACACACTAATATAAAAATATTTCATTAAAAACACATTGACTCTGGAAATAGCCCCGATGGCCTACCAATTGCTTGTTGTATGAAGGATCATTATAATCGGCGATTTCTTCTCCTGGGTTGATATTCAACTTATCTCGTAAAGGAGTCCTTCCTGGGGTCACTGCAACACCAGGTTTAGGTGTCATTCCACTACGTGGAGTCAAGCCATCATTATCATGTGTTGGAGTCCTAAACATTTCAAAACAAAATAATCAAATGTCATCCATCACTCCGCAAAGATTTCTCTATTCAAAATAGATAAATGCTTAAAAGATGATGCATTAAATGCAGGGGTTACAGAAAAGCTCAGTTAGGGTGTTGATGGCTAAAATCAATTCTATCCTTCCGTTTGTTTACCGTTCTTACTAGGAGTTCTCTTCCTCATTCACCGCCACCCTCCACCCCCCTCCCCGGGCAAGGAGATAATGGATATATTTGTCTCCACTGTCTTGACTGGAAACAATGTATCCTGGCCCTACATTTAAAAAACTTATGATCCGATTTACCTTTTCTACTCATTTTTCAAGACTGCAGCGTAAATAATTGTGAGAGGATGGATTTTATTTTCTTCTTGCAGGAATCAACACAGGATGCTCTATAATTTAGGTGCCATACATAATCTAAGAGCTGTTATGTCAATAAGCAATATGAATTAAGTTTTATAAAATGAAATATTGCACATTATATTAATGCAATCCAATCATTTCAGTTAGTCCCTGCAAAAATATAGTCTTATTTCCTTAATCCAAAACTGGGCTGGTCAAAAACATATTAATTTTCTGAATTTTAAGAAAAAGTACATAATTCTTTACCTGAAGGGTGTAGTAAGCACAGTGTTCGGTGTCTGTACCACCTGTCGCTGTGGGGTTACTCCCGAAAAATCACTTTCATGGAGAGGTGTGTTCAGTCCACCTTTTAAAGGTGTATCAACATTTGTCAGCGCCATCAAGTTTTGAGCTTCCTAGATAAAGAACAAAAACAGAAACAGAAAAGGCAATTTTGAATGCATTCTAATTTTTCTGCTCACCCTCCCATCTTTTTGCACAAAGTTACTCAATAGCTAACACCAAGAGCCCAATTCCAGCAGTCTGACAGTCTTTCTCTGAACAAAAGCAGAACTCCTGCTGAAATTCATACTTTTGAAAGAACTTGGTACCTCCCTATAATGGTTCAATATCAATCAAAAGCAAATTTGCGACATTCAAAAGCCACACTAAACCAAAATTGACATTTTAATTTGCCTTGCTGAGCCCAGGGCAGGACCTAAAGTGTCAGTTCAAACTCAGGTTCAATTCTTGACATGGTCAATTTCAACCTGCACATTATGTAGTACTACTGCTGACGTTATTGTTGCTGGGTAAAAGTAAGGAAAGCTAAGCTGCATTTTCCAGTAATTCTATTAGATGAATCCTGATGAAGGTGTTTGTGTGTGACCATTAGATGCCGATGTGGTTAGACTCTGTTGTGGTGCTGTATAGCTCTGAAGGCTACAGTCAAAGTTTATGTGAATTATGGGTTTAAAACAAAACACCAACTGTACTGGTAACTTTAGAACTGCTTAGCAAAGAGTCAATAGCAAAAAAGGAAAGAACTAAATTTGGGGAAAAAAGTCTTGATCCTGATGTACAGGATCAGAATCAGAAACCCTATTTCTGATCCTGATTAGACAAATGAAATACATATAGATCTTTAGAGTTGTCATGCAAACCTCTGGGCCAGGATCTTTTTCAGCTATACATTCTAGAGTTTTTCAGCGATCCATGCAACCAGCAAGGAAGTCAAGTGACTTGACTTGACTTGAGCGGTATCAGTGGTGTAGTTGGGTGGTCAGTTTAACTGTTACCCAGTTCCTGCGGCTGGTTTCACTTTTTCTAAGTAACTATTAATCTAAGTCAGTTGAAATCCTCCAAAGTGTCACAGTCTAACTCAGAGTTGGGGCTTTCTTCAGAGGCTTCCAGACACACATAATTGCCTATGGGACCTTTTAATATCTAGGGCAATCCTAGAGAGTCAGTTGCATCAGGACTACAACATGCCCTGACATGCAATTTGGGACCACGTTTCTGCAACTACTATTTTCTCATCAAAAGATCTGGGCTCTGAAACACAAGTGAATATTTTCTAATCTCTAAAACTAAACAACTTTAAAAAAACCATACTACACTTCTGCAATTCCTTGCTATTATTCAAAAAATAAATTTTCCAAACTTGAGGTTGTAATTGTCTAACCACAGATCAGAAAACATATTACAATATCAACAAAACAGTATAAATATAACAGTCAGACGACGAAAAAAAACCCCTCAATGTTATGAAGACAAGAATCATGCCCAAAAAGAACACAAACATTTCAGAATATTATAGTGATCAAGAAATATTTGCAGGAAAGCCTCCAATAAAGACAATGCACGATGGGTTCTGGTAGAAAATTTGCACTAATTCAACTTAATACGGTTCAGTTACCTGGAGAATACGATCTTGTGCTGCAGGAGTTCGTGCAGTTCGCAAACTCAAACCAGTGTTGGCAATGCTATATTCAGATATGAGAGCATTGGAAGCGGAGTTTGGCATTCCGGATTCTTCGACCGTCTGACAGGCCATCTCACTAGCCTGACCAATTTTGACCACTTCTTCCAGTTCGGCATCAGAGATCTTTTAAAAAAAGAACACTTTTTTAAAAAGTAAACAGCAAAGCTTTAATTCCTTTAGCGTTATAACATAACTATGCAGTGTATATCCGAATCCTACTGGATGATATTTATACAACACAGAACAGGGCTGTTATGGTGTAGTGTTAGTGCCCCTGCCTCTGACCCAGGACACCAAGGTTCACACCAAACCTGCTCCAGAGGTGTGTAATAATACTTCTGAACAGGATAATCAAAAAATATCAAGCAATAATCTGTGAAAGCATTTCCTTTCAAACATTAATGAACTATTAAAGGCAAGCCAACAAACTGTCAGATGACTTGGAATTAAGTAAAAATGACAACCTCAAAATAGGGCCAAGAGCAGTGAAGTGAAAAAAAGTCACCAACGCACTACGATAGCAGACAATTCATCTGCAAGTCTCTGATTGCTGCTTACGTCCAAAGTACAGACTGAATGATTACCCTGAAAGGGAGATAGTTCCATTGCAGATTGAAAGAATACATCAGATAATGCTATAAGGTGCCAGTGTTTAATGCTATATGGTTATGACAAGAAAAACAATTGCACCACTAAAAAAAGTGGGAAAGGTAACATATAGCTATTACATATTAAAATTGCAGGTACTGCAATAAATTATTGACTGGCTGCAGTTTAGTTGCTATGACATTTATGAAAATGGGATTTCCTGCACTGAGTGGACAAAAAAGAAACAGCTGCTGCTGGATTCTACAGAAGATTAGCTATCAACGTACAAAGAACAATAAAGACAATGCGATTTATGACACAACCAGTGACAGTTGTTGTTAATTCTAATTAAACACACAAATTATGCAAAACAATAAATTAGTGCTCATAAGACGTTTCACAGGTTTATTTAAGTCTTAGTCTTAAGAGACCGTAACCATTTGGTAGAATGAGAAGTCTGTTGAATTTGCATTAGGAATGCATTGTCACCTGATTAAAAAATGTAGTATTTTGGCAAGCGAGGGGATGGGAAGTTAGTCACACATGGTATGTGAATGAAAGTCATTCCTATATTTCCTTAAGGCCAATTATAATCAAGTTATCAAATTACATCTGCAAGCATGCAATTCAAACAATAAGATGTATTAGTTTTGAAGCAGGAAATCTAACTAAATTAGGCAGCCAGAGAAGAGGAGGAATTTCAAACTCTGATTGGAACCCTAGAAGAGATTAACACCTTCAGAAGTTTAGTTAGTGTAATTGTCTCCAGTCTAATCACTGATGGTGAGGACTAAAGAATGCGAACAAAGTTCCGAAAACAGCTTATTAATATTTTTTATAACCAAGGTCAACTAGGGAGTACAAGGGGCAGACGTTTATTTGCCACATGCAATCTGAAGTGTACGCTGGTGCAACTAGAAAAAATAGACATAATCTTGCATAAAAGCTGTTCCAGATGACATTAAATCAAAAATACTCTCATCAACTTTACAATAACAAATTGTTACCAACTCAAAGTTTTATTTAAAAAGGATATTATTAAACATTTACAGATAGATGTGCACTCAACTGTGGCTAATACCAAATTCATTCCTTTACACATACGTTCAAACATTTAAAATAATTGGGAATTAAGTCAGATATGGCCTTGTGGCCCAATCTCTTTCAATCTTTATTTCACAAAAGGAGAGCTTCTGACACGACTGGGCAATGTCATGCCCTCTAAATAATTTTAGATTATGAACAGAAAGTGAAATGACTGAGCAAAAGACCAATGAAATGCTCTCCAAAATTCATGATATTTTGAAGTTTTATATTTCTTATCCATTCTTATTTTGTTAAGAGTAAAGGTGACAAGTGGATTCTTAGCTTAATTCTGATTTGTGAACAAACTAGATCATGGGGAGCACATGGTTGTTTTGTACTGTGACAGTGAAATGAGCAGCTATGATGCAGCAAGCTACAGGAGTGAACATAGCGATTTGTCCTCATGATGATTTGCTTTTATTAACTAAAAGGAAATAAACTATTCCTCATGTGTCAAACAAATTAAATCACTAATGGTCATTAAATAAACATGGGGAATGTCTAAATTCACTGAATGATATAGATACAAGCACAACGATTGATCTCCCAAGCACATGAATACTACACTTCGTTTTGACTTCTCAAGTGAAGCCATGGTAGAGACCAGGGAAAATTTTAACTTTGAATTCGCACATGTAATGGAAATGTCCTTTGTAACTTGTTGTTATAAGGACACTCTTGTAAAGTGTGTTATGTCTCATTTGGGTAGGGTGTTGGCAATTGAGCCCCACTATTCCCAGAGTCATCACAAAAGTTAAAGATGTTATAAAAGTATACAAAATTCCCTCCCCAATTTACCTATCTTTTAGAGTCAGCGTGACAGAAAGGACAGAGATCAGGTTTCTGTCCTCAAAAAAACTACTACTTAGTACTGAAAAGATTGTGGCTACAGGTAAACAATTATGAACAACTGACATAACTGTACCAGTTAAAAGTCTAAACCCTCTTATAAAACACCACCCTCCCCCAGCCCCCAAACACGCATTTGTAGGCAGACATAAATAAGATTAGTTGTCACGGGCAGAGGAAAAGGTCGGAAAGGCAGTTTAATGGTTCCTGCTTCCAGGGAGATGGTCACAGATGACCGTTTTGGCTTAACAGGATATTGCTCCTTGCATGGGCACAGGTCGTTTGGTCACAGTTAAAAAGTATCTCACTTGATAGTTAAGCACAAAGACAAAATAAACTGACTTTTTTCAGACAATTTTGTTTTTACTGCAGAGGAAAGGGACAGGTCCTCAAATGTTCAGCTACCTGGGAGCAAATCACATAATTGTTACAGACCAATTAGCTCCTTGTTGCCAGCTGAAGTTCCATCTGCACACACCCTGTGGCTCCAGCTCATCTGTATCTAGACATCCACCACTGTTTCAACAAACATGTATGTAAACAGCACTTACAATGAGTATCAGATAACTTCCTTTTAAAAAGTGGAGCAATTGTTCAACAATTCTTAGCTTTTAAGTCTATTTTCAGATCACAATCAAATATATAGAAAAAAAAAGAGATGCGCTCTTTATATAAGTGGCGTGTTTACATCAGGCAGTTTAATATATGAGGACATAGTGCACCTGTGCTGGCAAGTGACAGAACTCTATGTCCAACATTAGGTGTGATTCTCATAATGGACAACTTTTATTAAATAATGAAGACTGTGCACAATTCAAGGATATGAGGTAGGTTATTTAGGACTGAGATGAGGAGAAATTTCTTCACCCGGAGAGTGGTGGGCCTGTGGAATTCTCTGCCTCAGAAAGTGGGTGAGGCCAAAACACTGAATGTTTGAAGGAGGAGCTAAATATAGTTATTAGAGCTAAAGGGATCAAAGGGTACGGGGAAAATCAGGAACAGGATATTGAGTTGAATAATCAGCTCTAATCAACCAATGGTGGAGCAGGCTTTAAGGGCTGAATAGCCTATTCCTGTTACTATCTTCTACATTTCTTTGAGGGAAAAAAGGACTTTCCACACTGTAATCTGAACTTTTAGTCTTCAGAATTTTTTTCACCATGACTATATTGTTTTCCAACCATCGTATATGTATTAAATCACTTGTGTTTTGCCTCCCCGTGTTTGAGTATGTATGTGGTCATTGATTTGCATATGTATTTGTTATACAGGTTAAATTGCATAAATTAGAAATCCATTCTTCTGCAGTTTTTGTTAAAGTTGAGCATGTTACAATAAATATTATTTTTAATGTCACCGAAGAAACCTGGTATGGTTTGCTCTTGCCCTGAAAGCAGTCAGTCAGGCAAACTGAGTTGTGGTGATCTAATTCAGATGTTTATAATTTATACAGTTTATGACTAACTTGTAGAACAGTTGGATGCGATAATCATCAGACTATTTCCAGTTATGTTTTTTGTAGGCAAAAGGAATTTGCGCATACAGTACACCTGTATGAGTTGGGGCAAGGGAGGACATGGTGACTGTCAATCTCTGCTATATTACCATGGCAACACACTGGCCAATCAGAGTTTACCTGCCTGCAAACTTAGATTGACAGTTAACTGTTTCTGCTGCATCTCCATGGCAATGATGGCCCAACAACTTCAGCACCTTCTTCTTAGGCTGTATAAATTGGTATTCATTTTTCAAATCTGTTCCTTGAGTCCTAATGCCGATGAGGACAAGATGGCAAAGTTCGATTTTTTAGCAATATTAAGGAATTGTACAACTGCAATTTTCATCTATTCACATATGTGGAAGGTTGTAGTATGAAATAAATGTCACCACAGAAAACATAACTATTACCACTGCATGTTTAGAATAGAGATGTACTATTTACCTGTGGTGCAGGAAGAACTAGTTTACTTCTTTTTTTGGTAAACTCAGAGACCCCACTGATCTGTAATATAGCAGAAGGCAAATCTGATTCCTTCTTCTTCTTCAGGCGCTGCTTATCTTTCTTCTGTTCAGATTCTTCTTTCTCGCTGAATTAAATAAAATACACTCAAAATTAAACATTGAAGAGCTGTAGAAAGCAAAATGCAGGTTTCAAAAATCCATTAAATGTGCTATGGCTTGTTTTTATTCTGAACTCAAAAGCATTTGAAATCTGTAATTTGTTCAGGCTACGAATGTGAAATCTAACATAATTGAACTCGAAAATATTCCCATTCATTAGCTTATATATGGGTTAAAACTGGGCAGCAGGCAATTTTTTGGGTAGTCGGGTCTACTTTTAAATTCTTTTATTTTGAATTATACTAGTTAATATTATACAAAGGGAGCAACTTTTGCAGCAAAAAAAAAGTGAATTTGCAATGATATGAAATATATATTCACAAACATTTGTTGCCAGTGATTGTAAGTATAGAATTGCTATCAATGGTTACACCATTCTCAGTGCATACTTGAAAGCCCACAGCCCATTTCATAAATCATCTTGACCTAGAGTCAGCCAAATATTAATTGGGATTAATTTTTTGTTTGAAAGTTCACAAATTCACCTGATTCCTATTAAATCCTTTCAGTGCACTATAACAAAATAGAGTAATAACTAAAATATTCTACTAATTTAGGTTGAAGAAATTACGCACTGCCTTTATTGAGCTGTAGGTCTAGGCAGAACCCAATTGTAGCCAAAACTGGATGCATAAGCAGGCAACAACGTTGTTTATTTAACACTGCTCTTCAGCAATTAATAGCTTTTTTCACTTTTTGATGATTATGATTTGTCTCACTGTTCAGATTAATACTCCCTTCGTCTATTAGCTGAACTCCCACTCTACTGCTGGGATTTAGCTAGTTGCAGCATTAACATTTATCCCAACGTTGTTTTCAGACTTCCTTCTAATTCGAGTGAAATGATTCCAGGACCTTGACACGGATTAGAGAAATCCCTCAATGGAGATCAGAACACTCATTCCCTGAAGCATTTTTCACTGAAATCCTAATGATGAACCTTTCCCATTGCTGCTTCAATGTTGATTGATACAAAAATTCTAAACTCATTCCTTATTCCTGATGCTCTCCATGGCTGATAGGTTTCCTTGGTATCTAACATATTTCTCTTCTCCATCACCAACTTCTGGCACCTATAAAACTATGCCAGTGCTGTATCCCTTTGAGATCCTCCTCATAATTCATTTGAGTTTTTGGCATTTTCTCACCAAATCCACCCTACAACCAGGCACCAAGCAACTACTTTATCTCCATTTTTGTTTCATTGAATGATACAGCACAAAATAGCCAGCTCTTTGAAAATAAATCCAGTTAATCGTACTCCCTTTCCTCATAGACCTGCAACTTCTTTTCCTTCAATTTCCTTTTGAAAGTTACAATTGAATATGCTTCCACACAGGCAGTGATTTCCAGATCTCAAGAAATCACTGTTTAAAAAAATACTTTCATCATACTACCTCTGGTTCTTTTTTGCCTATGGTGTCAAATCTGTGCCCTCTGGTTACTGAGCACCTTCCACAGTTTCTCTTTATTTACTCTTTCAAAGTCTTTTGTGACTTAAGATCACCTTCAAATCTCCTCCTAATGAGTGAGACTCTTACTTCTCCTTTTTCTCCAACATAACCGAAGCTCTCCTATTTCTAATAAGAGGGAAAATTCACATCAAGACAATAATTTGATTGATTTGCATCTGCAGAGACTTGCACATTATGACGTGAGCTAGAATCAGTAACAGCAACTTTGAGATTTCTACATTTAATTGTACATGTGCAATCTTCAGAAGTTGTTATCAACTTCAACAGATTAACAACAGTAAGCACTGACATATTTGCTTGTCATTAGCAACAAAATATTAATACTGCACAATCCAGGCTATTATGTTTGAAATGGTCACACAGAATTATTACAATGCAAGCTTAGCTGCACCAGCTCTCTAAATGAGCTTTTCACTTATTGCCATCCATCTGCTTCCTCCCAGTAATCTTGAACACTATTTCTTTCCAAATAACAGAATGTTTTCAGGGCCTTGATTGAATATACTTACACTAGATTTTCAGGCAGTGCATTTCAGACATTAATTGCATGAAAAAACATCTTTTAAAAAAATCACTTTTGCTTTTTTTTTGCCAATTTTTCTACATCTGTGCCCTATTTTTGTTGATTCTTTCATAAGTGGGAACATTTTCTCTTTCTCTACACTGTCCACACTGGTGATGATTTTGAATTCCTCTTTCAGATCTCCTCTCAGTCTTCTCTTCTCCAAGCAATTCAATCCTAACTTTTCCAAAATAATTTCATACCTAAATTCCTCATCCCTGAAAATATTCGCATAAATCTCTTCTCTACCCTCTCCAATGCTGCTGGATTCTTCCTGAATATGGATACACTAACCGTGCTATGGTTAGGCCCGGGTGCCTGTATCGGTGGCTGAGTGTTCTAAACACCTTTATAGACATTAGACTATAGACTCTAAGATCTGGACGTCTTCTTTTCACCTTGGCCCTTTTGTTTTACTTGTTTCTGTTTTTTGTAAATTTCGGTTTTGTAACTAAGATTGAGCCGGAGAATAGTGACTGTGCACATTTTTCACTGTATTCATGTATTCCTATACTGGAGTACATGTGACAATAAAATTTAATTCTAATTCCAATGCAGCTGAGGCTGACACCCTCCATAATGAAGAATCACAGGCTCAAGCATAGGAAATATGTAGAGTTTGAACTAAGCAATTTTACAAAGGGATAACAAACATAGTGGAGTCTTAACTATTTACCATGTTCATTAATGATGGGAGAGAGAGAGTCAAATAGACAAATTGGTCAATAACACAAAGATAGGAAGTAGGAGTCTTATTAACAAACTAAGCGAATGTGTAAAACTGATGAATTGATTTCTGTTTAGGGGTAGATGAATGTGAGGTCATCCATTTTGGATCTAAAAGGGACAGATCAGAGTTCTCCTAATGGTGAAAATCTAGAAACATGGAGGTCAAAAGGGATCCATGTGCACAGATGATTAAAATACCAAACAGACAGACAATAATGAAAAAGGTTAATGAAATATTTTCTTTCATATCTAAATGGCCAGAATACAAAAGGGTAAAGTTAAACTACCGGCCCTAAACCCCACCTCTTCCTCCGTTACATTGATGACTGTATCGGCGCCGCCTCGTGCTCCCATGAAGAGCTCGAACAGTTCATCCACTTCACTAACACCTTCCACCCCAACCTTAAGTTTAACTGGACCATCTCTAACACCTCTCTCTCCTTCCTGGACCTCTCTGTCTCCATATCGGGCAACCACCTAGAAACCGATATTCATTTCAAGCCCACTGACTCCCACAGCTACCTAGAATACTCCTCCTCCCACCCACCTTCCTGCAAAAATGCTATCCCCTATTCCCAACTCCTTCGCCTCCGCCGCATCTGCTCCCAGGATGAGGCATTCCACTCCCGTACATCTCAGTTGTCCT